GTTAGCTGGTAGGGGGGGAGGGGGCAGGGGGAAGGGGCAATCACCAAAGAGCTGGACAAGGATAAATGCTTATATACTTTTCTATGAAACTTTGTTATAATTTGATTTTCTCCCCACTGGTACTTTAACTTTTCCTTTGGCTTTGCCCATAATTGTGGGTGATAGTAAGTATGACACAAAAAAACAAAAATTTTGAACCAATGAAAAAAATTATCCACAATTAAAGATATCAGGACGCTTCCAAGATCTCGTTAGTAATTGGCCTTACTGTCTGCCAAACAATACTTATGATATTAGTTCTGAGAATTTAGTATTGGATCAACTAACAACTTCCTAACTGATATTTTTCCTTATTCTTATCTTATTGTTATTCTTGTCTGCTTGATACTGTATTGATAATGTAAGGAGAAATTTTATCTATGTCACTAACAGCAGTTAAAAGGTTAAAACTTTTAAGCTAGGACTTCCTAACAGCTCTTACTGATTGGAGACTGATAAAAAGGGATGAAGTGCTTGATAGACTTAAAAAAATCACCCAGAAGTTCTCTAGTACCTTCAACCATCTCCTATCTTTCTTCACTTTACTGAAGTTGTACAATCTTGTTTTGTCAATTCGCAACTCTGAATGTAACAAAACAAATCACCTTAGTAAAGACAATTGTATCTCTTTATTAATAAACAAACATATAAAAGGTTCAAACCCAGAGTTTTCAACTTGTTATACAAAATTTGTAAAGAACATTTCAAGATACACATAAATGATATGAAATTCATACACGTTTTAGAGACAAGATATGTCAAGTCAAATTCTTTTTAGAATCTGTAGTGTAATCTTCCAGTTTTTGAGAACTTAACAACCTTTAGTTTTACATCACAAGGTCTAAAACAAAAGAGTAACTCACCATCATGACTCAAACATCCATTTAACGTCAATCCATTGCTGGTGCCATTTAAAAGACTGTCACCTTTTAAGGAGACTTCCTTTTCATTATCACTCAATTCACTTTCATCATCACTAAGGGAGTAAGAAAAAGTAAACATCATTTTAAACACCAAGGAAACAGTTGATTTAATCTTCCTGGACACTACAAAAAAGAATTTCAGAGCTCTCAGATTTCAAGTTTTGCCTCACAAAATTACCACTGGATAAGACTCACAGGAAATTGTGTAGTACCCAAATCTATCCTTGCAAATACACCTCATATGACCTTTTGAATAGTTTAAAAAACAAAAAAGCCACCAAGATGTCTCAAATTGCAAGTTAAGTTCTGTCACACTGGTTTTTTTTAACACTAGGCAAGTGGCTCACACTTTCACGGCTTAAACTAGTATCTATAACATAGAGTAACTTGAAGTAGTGCCCCCCATATTGTTACTGTTGTGCCTAAGAGTCTTGTACATGTAACTCCTTTTGTTGCTTTTGCAACTGTCTGTATCATTGTGACCAGGAGTATTGCACCCCTTATGGCTGCTACAGCATCTAGTAGTATTGCTACTCCTGTACCACTGCTATTACGCGAACACAACATGCTGATTCCTTCTAGAACTCAAACACCAGATTTTTGATTCAGAATTCAGAATTCAGAAACTTCACCAATAGCCCACTGCTTGTCCCACTCACGAACATATCTATATTAACCCAACTCACAAGCCAGCCTCAATGACAATTGGTAATTTAGCATTATCAACTGAGTTGATATCATAAATTGGCCACTGTAAAGAGTTACAAAGCTAGTTTTGCCCGCTCAAGTAACCAAGCAGAACATAGAATTTCCTTTACGTTGTCCATGGGCACTGCTAGTTTTAAGTAATTCATCATATTCAACAAATGTATCTTTTCTTAAGTTTCCAAATCCTGCTCCTAGCTCTTTATTAAACCAGTATCTTTTTTGTAGTGCCTTGCACAAAGACACCTTACTTTCAGGCACACATTTTGACCATTTGTTAGGCATTACACCGATGAATTACAAAACCTTGGAATATCTGTGGAGTGGGTTTCAAGCAGAATAAAAACTGGTTTACATGTCTATAATAGGTAAACCTTGAATATTCACTTTACATCCCATTTATTTAACATGAAAATTAAACAAATGAAATTATATCGCAATTTTATGTTTTGTAGGATCTAATATGGTTGATCCAATTACATGCCGAAAACAACTTTAATGGTAGAATGATAAGTGCTAAACTAACGGAGAAAGTCTGCCAAGAAAATGTTACTATCTGACAAAAATTTACAACCAGGGTGTATAAATAAACACCTCGGACTGGCTCACATTCAATTCTCACTCTACAGGAAGAACTGAATCTATCACAGTCAATCAGATTGAGGTGTAGCCGTCCGTTACTCAAAGCTGAATTAATACGAGCATTTTCTATTATGATTGGCAAAGCCTCTTCATTTAAGTCCAAACTTTATTTTGTCTTCCTCACCTGTTACACTTGTGCCTATTCTGTTTCATGCTCTGCCAAGTTTGATTTACCCATTAACAACAATTCCCAACTTTTTTACTTTATTTGTGCACATTTATTACCTTATGGTTGACAAGTAAGGATCTGTGAAGACGCCTTCTAAGTAAGTGAGGAGAGGATCCAAACGGAGAGCTTTTTCCAAGTGTTGCACATGAAGAGGGGGTGCAAGAGATGATTGGGGGGATGCCATGGAAACAAAGCCAGGTAAAACCTGAAAATGATGACATGGAGAAGATAATTTGGGATTTTATAGAGAGGGGAATATCGGAAGAAGGCGATCGTGACGTGAATTACATTTCAGATTTGCCATCAACTTTCGCTTCTCGTGGTCAAACGTGTGTAAAGTTCCTGAAACTTGTCCCGGAGATTACGATTGAAAGGCAGTCAAGAACAGAGCTTACTTGGTAAAGAGTGCCACATTGTGCCTCAAAGTAATTAGTTGTTCGAGCAAGTCGAGCCACAACGCACCTTTCAACAAGAAACTAAACGATTCCTTTCAAGAAGACTCCTTTGTGCGAATGTAAAATAAGAGACAGTCCAACGTACGGAAAACAAACGAAAATTCCAGTGAAATAAGTGTGAGAAAGAAGGCGACACGAAACAACGCTTACCCGTGGTCAACTGGTCTGTTCTCGCCACATATTCGAAGAAATTTTACTTTGTGAAACCATATCCACCCCACTTCAACTCGCTCCGCTGTTATGGCGGATTTGGTCCGTCGTGTTGGCAAAATGCTTGCAATGCGGCCCATGACCATCATTCCCCTTCGCAGGGGGCCCTCCGCCATTTACAATAACTTTACTACGCATGTTCAAGTTCGCGCTCAATGAAACCGCGTAACCTGGGAGCTACGTTTAGAGGCACAAAGGTTTAGAGGTTTAAATTTCGGGTACGGTTAAAAGCCCACGATTTTTACAACTGAAAGGATTGAAATAAGTATTATTAGAATATTCACTTCATAAAAATTGCTTCCTTCTCTAATCTTTTTGACAAAAATCTCTGGATAAAGAAAAAAAAATACAAGGTTAGGTCAATACAAAAACACTTGAAAGTAGTCCAGGCGTTCAGTTTGGTTAGTAAAACAGAGCGCAATAGAAAAATTAAAAGAGCACTATAATATCGGCGGATCGAAAAAGGTGGTAGGCTTGATTCGAGTCGAAAAAAGAAGGGTGGTTTGGATCATACGATCCTTACAAGACCCGACCTTTCTTCCCTCCGTTGTTCAACCCGATTCAAACCTTCCACTTTTTTTTCCTCCACCGCTACTGTCATGCCTTTAATTTAACTGTGGAGCTCCGTTCGTTTAACTGAAGGCCTGGACCAGGCTAACTTTGATCAGATATGAACTCCATTAAGGGCTTTGCGCGGTGACCAAGGCAGCAAGTTTGATCGGCGTATTTGATAATTTTTTTTCAACTATCAAATTCGTGACTTGGGCTATCGTCAAATTTATTTTTACCAATAACTTCTCTTCGTTTTTCTAGGATCCACCTTTCAATGGCGCTTTCTATGGATGTAATCAAAGAGAGACACTCCGAACTCCCTGGTGCGCGTGTGCATTTGTTACCAACTCTCACTTTTCTCTCAAGGAGCTGATTTTAGTGGCAAAACTGTTCACAGTTCTCTGAAATGAAAAAAAAAATTGCGAGTCAAATTTCTACCTCACAGAAGAGAAAAAGGAAACTAATCTGTTCTCTTGAATTCTGCTGTTTGCATGCGGCAACCGCGCCTTCCTCTCCAATTAAACTGAAGTCTCCATCTCGTTCTATAAATGCAAATGAGCTTTCGCTCTGTCTATTCTTATCGAAAATAGCAGCTAATTCCTTTCCTGGATATTTCCCAGTCCGTTTTGTTGCGAGATTAAAGTAATTTTTCAGTTAACAGGTCTTAACCGCAGTTGAGAAAAATGTTTGCGTTTGCAGTTATGACGCAATGATAACGTAACAGTCACTTACATACCTATTAAGGAAAACGCGCGTCGTGCCGTTTCACGCTACGAGCATATTCTGCGTTTCACGCCATGAATACGATTGCAAATTGAATTTAAATCTTGTCTTTTTCAGCCTCGTGTAGTAAAAGTATTACTAATTTGCCAAACAATAGGGCAGTTTTAAAATGATTTCCTCTTGAATTCGCCCAATTCAGACCCGCAGGAACGTAATTTGAAGTGTGTAGAGCCAACTAAACATAATTCTTTAGGCTCTGGGGAGTCTGGGTAGTTTGGTATTATCAACTGAGTTAATAACGGAAATAGGCCGGCTAAGCCACCGAAAAGAGGTTTCCAGCGTTAGCCATTCGCTCTGACGAAGGGCTAACGCTCGAAACGTCAACTTTTAAACTCTTTACGGTGGCTTACTTACGTTATCAGTCCAGTTGATTTTATTAAATTACCCTATTATACTCTCCCACCGACGCAGCACCACAATTGCTTTAGAAACTTATCCCTTTTATCCATCTAGGGAGTCTGGGCCTATCCGGGCCACTTAATCTTCAACCTGGCCAGGTTCCTAAGCTGTTATGATGTCGGAAAAAATTGGGGTTGGCCAGAGATAAAGGTGTAAAGAAATTTAAATTTCTACCCTAATTTGCATTGTTCGGCGGTGTTAAAACAACTTCTTGTGAAGGGTTATGAGTCATTTTTAGCGAAAAACCCTGAACATTCCTCATGACGTTTTACGACAATTATTACGAGGCCTCGGTGCCCGACCTCCCCGGCTACGAACTTGTTTTAGATGATAGTCCAACATGTCACCAATCACTGAAATACTGGACTGATCGGGCTGCTGAGGTAAGGAATTGACCGAGATTTTTGCATCAAATCTGGGTCTTGCCTTTGGTGTGAAACGTAATTTTTTCCGTTTTTGATCTGATAACCTGCTGCCAATTATGATCAAACCTCTGACTTGTAATTATTATGTGACTTCTAGCTTCCTTGTCACGACGCATCGCCAAATTCGAGTCTGTCGTAGTTGTGTTGAATTTTTCAAACTGGTCCGGTTCATATATTATTGTATGAGATTTATCGTGTTGGTAAAATAACAAACACCACTTCTTTACTGAAATGTCAGTATAAATTCATCACAGCTGCGGTCCTCAAATATATCAAGTCATATTATAGTATAGTCATTTATTTTTAAACTAACCCGGTAATAGAACTTTAAATAGTCACTCTTCTTTTTCGATGACATATGCAGCATATTATCAGCTGTTTATCATCTCACTGCCCCAAGGGCGATAAAATCCTTATTGTTCTATTTAGAAACTTTAAAATCTTTTTAGCCCAATTTAAACAGCCAACCTCGCGATCGCTCTTAACATATGCTGATCGATGGTCAGATTTTATGAATTTGCCGAGTTTAGTTCATTACATTTTCCTCTTGATATTCACCATATTCCCAAAAATGTTTGATGAACTCCCAAAAAATTGAGGTCAGTAGTGATATATAACCAATAAATGGTTCAGTAGATTCAATTTCTTAAAAATTGCTTGAAATTTTATCTTTGAAATATCAAATCGCTCAATATGCTCGAGTGAGTTCCTCAGAAAACTAGTTGGTTTAAGAGCCAGCTAGTCACTTAGTGCAACACCAACTGGGGCCTTTTTCTGAAAAGACCCAGTATCTTTGTGGACCTGAGGCAATGCGTTAAAACATTCACCTTAGGAATAGTGGTGTGAGCCTTGCTGAAAAACTAGCCCATTCTGTTTTGGTTTCTGATACTTGCATTTTTTGAATTTCAAAATTACTACAGGTAATACCATGAATCCTGAATGAAAACACAGCAAAGAAAAAAACAGCCTTTCAGTACAGCCTACCACCATGATCTTTGAGAAATGGGCTCTTGAGCACTAATATAGTAATTAATATACCACTTAAGAGCTCTGAGTGGTTTAATACAATGGATTATGATTTTGGAATCTGACTCTTAATCCTTTAACTCCAAAGAGTGACTGGCATCTAATTTCTCCCTACAATGTCACTTCTGAATCAAGAATTAAGGTCATGAGAATATAGGAAATGATCACCAATTGAAGAAGCTCTAGTATTTTAAACAAAATTCTGCCTAAATGGCTTAGAATATATGAAAGTCATATATTTGAACTGCAGATAAAGACATGAATGAAAGTGATCCTCGCAGCAATAAGAAAAGTTGTTTTTGTTTTACTTTGCAATCATCCTTTTAATTACATCTGTTGTTTGTTCATGCATTAGGTGAGTCCTGCTCTATTGAAACTCACTGGCTCAGTTGAGTCATACTTCAGTACTGGAATGCAGCACAGTAAAGCGGCAGCTGGGTTTGGTAGTGCTCTGGTAGATGTCGCCAAGTCAGTGGAAAATGATAAAGACATCAGTGAACCAATAATGAAGGTAATGTCACAGATGATTTGCCAAGTAGTTTAACCCTTTAACTCCCTGATCAAATGTGTAATTCTCCTTACTGTCAACTGTACAATTCTTACAATGTTAGTTCACAGAATTTTGTATTGGATCAACTAATAATCCCCAAATTGATACTTTTCTTTATTCACATCACTAATCTAGTTGATATTAATGTATTGATATTGTTAGAAGAAATTCTGTCCTGGTCACTTATGGGAGATAACATGTTAATAAAGTTAGCTTCCTGATAAGTTCTTATGGGTTGTAGACTCATATGTGTGCATGAGAGAGGAGCAGAATTCCTATCACTGTTACAGCATTATATGTTTTAGTCTCTCCTTGTTTCTCCTAAATTATACTGTTACTAAAATCTATGTACTTTAGTTATATTAACTACATAGCATTGAAATTTGATATCAAATGTTTGTCCAAGTCTCTTAATTCTAATATATAAAATCTGTTTACAAAATTAAAAGTGTTATTAGGTTTGTGTGCATATGGAGCATTATTCCTATTAATGTAACTGCATTATATTTTGAGGTCTTTTCTCTATAAGCCCAAATTACACTGTTCTTAAATTTTTTAAGCAAAAATGTTGGTGGAATTAAATAATCACATTATTAAGTTAGTTTGTGTGTGTGTGTGTGTGTATGTTGGCATAATTCCTATCTTTGTAGCAGCAGTATAATTTTTAGATCTTTTCTTATTTTCCTCTAATTACACTGCTGTTGAAATCTTAAACCCTTTAACTCCCAAGATCTGATTGTTCATTCTCCTCTCTTTCTGCTACACATTTCCTTGTGAATTAGTTATGAGAATTTGGTGTTAGATCAAGATAACTACTTGTACCTGATAAGTTTGAGTATTCTCATTATCTGTTTGCCAGATAGTGTATGGATATTATCAATCACTTCTGGGAGTCACAGAAAGGGTTAATAAAAAATATATGCCAATTGAAAGTAACTACATACATTATCAAGTTTTGATATTAAAAAATAATCACATCTGTCTTCAGTTTGCAGACATGTTGCAGAGAATAGAATGCTACAAGGACATGTTCCTGAGTCAAACACAGCTTCTGACTCTGCAGCCATTAGCAGCTCTTACCAAGGAATTTGAGAAAGCTAAGGTAGGATAATTCATCCATAAAGGAATTGTTCAAAATCTTACAAAGCACTTTACTTCATATGGTTAAATATTTGATGGCCTTGCACAACTTATAACCAGGTTTTAGTGACTTTCCCTTTTCTATGTTTCACTAAGGCACTAAAATGTACCCTGTGATGTAATTTTTGATTTAGGACCTTCAGTCTCAAATGCAAAAAGCCAGAGATGGGCTGCACATTGCTTGGGAAAAGTATTCCAGCCTTGCACACCTCAGCAACTTGCAAGAGGTATGGAATATTCATAACAGACTGAGAGATTATTTTTTACTTAAAAAAACTTCCTGTGAAAAGTTCAATTCTAAAGCGATTCTGCAGTCATCGTACATCTTTCAAAAGGGCATTTCCAGTGTTTCTGCATAGGCACTGACTTCCAGGTTCTAACTTTCAAAAAACTGCATGGCCTCTGGGGACAAAGATAAGATATTTACAGCTCTCAAAAGAAAACAGAGGACAATCTTATGTCCTTTGTAATTAGTCAAAGCTTTATATGAACACAGATGTGGCAAACAAGTGAAATATTACAACTGTTAATGACTATCGCATCATTTCCATTTTGGATGCTCAAGTGAAAGCCAATACTGCAGCCTCTTTTTTTTCTTTGTTTTAATCCTTAAAAGTCAGAGCAGATCATACTTATCTTTTCAAGAAAAAAAACAATCTTTAAAATTTGCCAAGGCAACAACTTTGCATATGAGATAATAAAATGAATTTCGCCAACTGACAGAGTCGACATTATTTTTATTTATGTCATGTGAAACAACAATTCATGGAGATCAAATATTACAAAATTAATTCTTGTCTTGTTCTCTTTCAGCCTGGTGTAGTCGACCGGCTTGCTCATGGTATGCTACATGCCAGACATAATTACCAGCGAATTCTTCTCAAGTATGTGTCAACACTGAGAGATATTCACACTTTAAAGAAGGTAAGCCTGATGTGTTTCACTGGGTGATTTGAAATGTGGTAGAGGCAAACAATTACTAACCAGTGTGTTGTAAACATAACTTATCTTCTAGTGAGCAAAAAATGGATATCATACTTTCAGGTATTAAATAACTTTGTGTGTTATTGTAGAAATTAATTGACATGTACCATTTCTTTTGGTTTGTTTTGCAGGTGATTATTCTTCAAAAAGTTTTAGAACACATGCTTGCCCAGTTCTCTTTCTTCAATTTTGCGTACCAGGTATTGCATTGTAAATATTAAACTTGTGACTGCTTTTAAGTGTACTGTATTTTCTTTATAAAGCAAGTATTGGCTTTTGTTTTTTATAAAAAAGTTTGATAGAATCTTAATTATGACATAATGTAGACTGGGGTCATATACTATTCTAAGAAACTTTTTTTTTCAGACATTGAAAGATGTAGAGCCATATATGAATGATCTTTTCCAAGAACTGCAAAACACACATGCCAAACTAGAGGTAAGTTGGATTGACAGATTCTCTGATCTGGGAACATTACAAAATTCATTGGAACTAGAGCGACAGAAAACTGTTCATGTTGTGTGTCTTGTTAAATGTGTCCCACTACCAGACATTTTTCACTTACAATATCTCAATTCTGGTTACTATCTGGTAGAAATCTCTTACAATATGTTAATTCTGAGAATTTGACTTTAAAAATCAATCATTGCCTTTGAATTAATAACCCTCTCTCAATATGCTCTCTGTTATCGTCATTGTCTGCAATTGATTAACATTAAGGTGGCATTGAAAGAAGACATCCTCTATCAATTACTCCTAGAAGCAAAAGGGTCAATGAGTGTTGTAACTCACATTTGATAACTAAATGAGTTACTCTCTCCAGGAAAATCTACAGAATGATGAGGATATTCAGGCAGCAAGTGAAGCAGATATTCTCACTCTATATCAGAAGGATGCCCAGTCATTTGCAGAACCACAGACCACTGTTCTTGGGTAATTTAAACCTCAGTTATTTTACTCAGTTAGTTCAGGTGACTAAATCCAACCTTGCTGCCCCATAGATTAGTGTGTAAATTATTTACATTGCATCTCAGTTTTCCAGAGATTAGCGAACTTCATGGGTGTGATCATTCACTGATAAAAGAGTGCACATTAACTGTATTTTTGTGATCAATGGTACTCTTATCTCTAATGTGATTTATTTTAGGTCTGCAGCACTGGGCCATTCTGTCAACACTGTGAATACACAAGCTGGGAAATTCTTCAACAGAATTGGGGATTTGATTCAAGGTAGTATGGAATGTGTAATAAATGGCACACTCTTTGCTTCCTAAAACTGTTGTATGTTATTATCTAAAATGCTTTCCAGAATAAAACCTTTCGGACATCTTTGTCAATAACTAAGTGTATACAATGGGTCTTAACACATTTAATCTCGATTAAATTTTCCCTTCTGATTTTAACTAAAATGTATTAGCATCAAGATGGAAATGTTACATTCCTTGCCCTATAGACTGACTTATCTTCTCTGCTCCTCCATGAATACTGCCATTATGATTCGACAGTGATCGAGATTAACTGATTTTGTGTTGCAAGTTTCAGTACATGAATCCTCCTATCCAGTAACTTTTTGATAATTGAAATTTGTCATGTAAGCAATAAAACAGTTTTGAATAGGCTTGTTGTACAGCTGTAAGAATTATTTATAGGTTTGAGCAGCTAAATCTTCGGCTATAAACTTTCCTTGTGAATTGAACTATTTCTTGAATGTAAATACAAATTTTATATTAAGATTTTAAATTATTGATCAGTAATTTTGACTCATAGGATCCAAGAAATATGGCAAAGATCACCCACGTCAGGTATGGGAACTTCCCTCCTCTCTTCTTCTCCTCAAGAAATAAAAAGAACATGCTCTGAGATTTTTGTGAAATGTTACTCATTGGTTGTTTATCTAGAAAATTTTCCAAGTTCCAACAGAAGACAATTTATTGTTTAAAGCCTCACCCAATGAGAAGGCACTTGCTTAATATATAATTTGGTTTTGGCTGAATTTATTAGTCAAGGATACAAGTATTTGCTCATAATGTTTTTTCTATTGGAACTTCTCTGGAAACTATCCAAATATTTTGTAACAAGTATGTTCCAAGAAGAAATTTGGCTTTTGAGTTACTTCTTCTGAAGGTAGATCAACCTCCTTAAGTTCACAAATTGTTTAGAGTTGCAAGCTCTGTGGAACTTTCTGGATCTGCAAAGGAGAGAGAGTTATCCAACACAGACTGTTCAAGAAGTAAACTAAAAAGAACTATTACTTTAAGAATGTATTAGACATGTATACAATTGTAATATGTATTGAACCAACCTACTTGTTTCAAGATCTCCCTTAAGGCAGTTTTTAGTTTCAATTGTAAACTGATTTATCATAATGTACCAAATTAATTTCTTGGGGGAGGGGGTCCCCATAATACGAACCCTTCAGCTCCTCTATAGCATTTTGATTGTTTGTATTCATAAACTGCAACTTCCTCTAGCTAGAATGATTAGGAAAAGCATTTAGATTTCATTTTGCTCTTTGACCAGACACTCATTCATCTATCTTGGTTGTTTAACTTGTTTTAGGATCAGGAATGGGAGGTGGTTGAAAAACCTAAGCTGTCATCATCTCCACAAGTCACCAGAAAGAATGATGCGTCATCTTCTTCAGAGGGAAAACCCCAACCTGAACGGCCAAGTAGTCTGCCATCCTCCCCAGCCAAGAAAAAGGAGGGTTCATCAACCAGTCCTGAAGGTGTGTACAGGAAGATATTCAGCTGTAAATCCTTTATAAGTTTGTTTATCTTTAACTTGGTAAACTTCCTTTTTTATGATGATTGACATGTTGAGAGTCCTTAGATAATCAACTGAAGACAGGGCATTTTGTTTGCTGATTTCCCTAAAACATGTAGCATACTGTTTGTCTACAAACATTTTTTTAGACAACTTTGGCCTAAGCTTTCTATGTACAATAGAAATCTGTACAATTGTACATCAGTTCACCACTAGTTTAAGATTAGAAGACAAATAGGAAGCTTAATACCTTTAAACAATTGTTGCAATGGTACTTGTGACCAAAAAAATTGCGGCTGGTGTGATGGTGTGATTCATTTTGACTTAGAGACACATTACTGGGCAGATTTTCTGTATTAAGAGGCATTGAACAGAAATAATTCAGTTAAATCAACTAGTCTGGGTTGGAGATGTAGCCAACATCATTGCATTGTGTTTTTAGTTAATCCTATAACTCCCAAGGTCTGATTTTAAATTCTCCTCTCTAGCTCCTACACATTTCTTTGAAAATAAGTGATAAGAATTTGGTGTTAGATCAAGAAAACAACTTCTGCCTGAGAAATTTACGTATTCTCATTACCTGTCTAGTGGATCATGTATGGATATTACAGGGAGAAGTTACATGTTAATCACTTCTGGGAGTTAAAGGGTTAAGTATCTTGCTCAAGAACCCATTACAGTGACTTTGGCCATGGCTGGAAAGCAGACCTTTTGATTAGGAGTCCAGCTTACTTCCATAAGGCTACTGTGACTCTCATTGCATTCTGTGGCAAGACACTTTCATCAGTAGCTCTTCTCTCACATAGAGTGTAAATGGTCCCCTGTAGCTGCATGATGAAAGAGCTACTGTAACCACTACTCAAATTTATCTAGGAAAGATTAGACAGTATGAATCCTAAAAGAGAAGGTATTCTTGACTCTTAATTTGTATCTCAGGTACAGATGATGCACAAGATAAGGTCATCAAAGTTGTACCAGATGATCTTCTCAGTCCAAGTTCTGAAGTTGCACCACAGGACAAAAATGCTGAGCAAACACAATCAGATGGATCAAGATCTATTGAGTAATGACACAGTCATTTTCATGCTTATTAAAAGTCCCTTGATGCATTCAATAATAAAAACAAATTGGTTTAATCAACTAAGTTTATAATGTAAATTGACTTCCTAAGAGAATTTCTAAAGCTTCATTTTGAGTATTGGCCCTTTGTCAAAGCGAAGGCCTAACACTGACGAAGGGCTAATGCCTAAAATGTGAGCTTTGGAAACTCTCTGTGATGGCCAATTTACATTTATTTATCAACTCAGTTGATTAAACCAAATTATTTTGTAATACCCCACCAATGCAGAACCATAATTTTGTTAGAAACTCACCCCCTCTAGAATCAAGTAACAATTTTATGTATTTAATGGTTTGTAATGCTGCAGTTTATAGTGATTAATTAACTTACAAGAATTCAAAGCTAAACAGACTTATGACATATAATTTTTTCAGTAATTCTTTCAAATGTCTTTGTTTCAGAGTATCGACAAGGGAAGGAACTCAAGTGACATCTTCAAGTGGATGGGAGCAGTGCAAAAGAGGCTATCTTCGGATAAAACAGAAAGGCTTTCCCAAGTCAAGATGGCCTCTTCTGGTAGGAATTTTTCAAAGTCTTCAAGGGTTCCCCCACTGTTTTATTCTGCATACAAGTATCTACCAACATTTATAAACAAATCTGGTTCCAAAACTTATTAGCTAAACCAAATCAGTGGCTCCATGGAGCTACTTCATGGCATGTTTTAATTTTTCAATAAAGGGAGAACTTTATCACTTTGCCATTTACCTTCTCATAGCATTAAAGTAAGATTCATGCATCCAAACCAGGAGTGAAAATAGCTCACAAGCACACTTGGTAATTGTGTGACAAAAAGAGAGGTCAAATCCAATGAAATTTATAAGACCTCAAAACATGGTAAATCAGCTGAATGAAATCTGTAAAATGTCAAAGCATTGTAAATCAAAACAGATACACGAAAATCAACTTGAAGTGCAGCAGGACAAAGAGATTATTCCATGGAAAGTGCATACAAACAATTTTTATTCATGAGTTGCAATGCATTGAAAAAGGAACAAGTGAGCCTAGCAAACGAGTGAGTTTTTTGATGCATTGTGAGGAGTGATTACAAATCATTTGTATGCACTTTTCATGGTATGATGTTTTGATTTCAAACATAATTAGATTTTTTCACATTTCAATTCACATTTTTGCCTTTACCCCATCCCTCAGATTTATGAACAGAAGATAATAGCACATATTTGGGGACAGAAACAAACCCAGGAGGGAAGGCTGGGGATTACTCATTTAATCCCAGTTTTAATGCCTAAATTAATTGTCTAACAGTCGCGGAGATCAGAGTATGAAGTGATTGAGTGAGTGAGTAAGCGAGTGAATTCTAGGTCCATGAGGTAAAAAGCAGTATTAATGATAATCACATAGCATAGATCATTTGTAAGTTTTAATTGTGTTCCTAATAAGTTTTCTATCTTTTATCAGTACTTCATTGTAGACCAAAAGGATGGAAGACTTTTGGCTCAGGGTCAAGAGCAGATCAGTCCATCAGTCATGGAGAATCTGCTGCTTTGCACAGTAAAGTTTTGTACGGCGGGAGATGTTGACAGAAATAACTGTTTTCAGGTGACTAACATATTTGTAGTAATAGACATGAGAAACTTATGCACTTCTGACTGGCTGAAAACTAATTGCATTTTTCCTTTAACACAAGTGCAAAGTTGTGACATGAGAGCAAATTACAAATAGCATGTGCACACTGTCAAAATTTTGTCTGTCTTGAGTTTTTGTGGTGCTTTTTTCATGCAAGTTAATGACAAGTATCAACATGGTTTTGAGTACAATGTGTTGTAAATAAGCAGTTGTATAATATTGAAGACTGCAAATTGCACTTGCCCTTTGGGCTTGTGCGATGTTGTTGTCTTTTAAAAATTCACCTGTGCTTATTTACACCAAATTGCACTTGAAATCATGTTATTACCTATTAATAATACTTAAAATTAAAAAAGGCTTTCCTTTTTTTTTTTAAAGAAAAGAAAGAAAAATCTTATCTTTATCTTTTTATCTCTGCAGCTCATTTCTCCAAGCAGTGAAAGAATATTCCAGGCAGTAACAGATCAAGAAGTACAAGAGTGGGTGACAGCCATTCAGGCAAGTCAATGTTATGTGCTCATGGGTTTTTTTACATTTTTAAATGATTTTATCAAAATGTTTGATTCAGATTAGTTTTGTGAGCTCACAACATAGGGGTTTTTAATTTGAATGTGATATTAATTCAACTCATTTTTAGGAGCTCAAGTTGAATACCCTTACATGTACATGATGGTTGTGTTGGAGGTAAAGGGGGAGATTGCTGAAGGCACAGTACAGATCAAGTGCTCTTGAGCTTGTTAATTGATATAAGCACTTTTAACTGAGAAACAAAGCTAACCAAAATGTCTTCTTTGTTTTGACTGTCTTCTGCCACTTTTTGTGACTTCATCCCCAACATGTAAGTCCACTCCAAGCAATTTTTTCTTGCGCAGGATCAGAGCAGGCAATCCAAGGCCTTCTTGCCCACTTTGGTAACCAATTAGAACACAGGATTTGCTTCATATTGTCCACAGCTATATAGTAAAATTAGTTATTGCTTTTTAACTATCTTTCTTTCAACTTTTTACTTTTGGTCAATATTTCTTTTTTTTCACCAGAAAGCGACAGCTGATGCCTTAAGAAATTCAAAAGCAAAATTACAGGTAAGTACAACCAGTGTGATACATGAACCAAGGAGTGTTAGATGATCATGAAGTCTGAGTGTTTCCTAGGAGGACTGTTGCCAGCAATACTGACCAACAATTCATCAACCTGAGTGTAATTAAGTCATAGTCAGGGTCAAGAAAGGAGTTTTCAACGCCCAAGAGTTATAAAAGTTAGTCTGATTGGTCAGTTTTGCCATTATACAAGCTGTGCTATCATTGGCTGTACAATATCTGTTAATTTGTATCTGCCAAGAAGAATGCATTCATATCTGCAGTTATAGATTATCATGATAATACAAAAGAATATCAACTCAAATTTTTACACATGTACTCAGCCAGTTGTCTATTTTTCTTCCATCAGTCTCTTGCCAGATCACAAGTGGACAGATCTAGCCAGTCAGCCAATGCAAATAAAGTATATGCAGTTGATGCATCAGAGAGAATAAGAAAAATAGATGGAAATTCATATTGTGCAGACTGTTCAACCCCAAGTAAGGAGTATTCATTTACTTGATTGGATGACAAAGTTCTACTTCCCCCTTGTACCATTTTTGTATATAATTATAACTAATTGGTTGGGAAAAACTTTTTTATGACGCGTTTCATCTTAGGTAAGAGTTACCACAAGGCTACTGTGTCTCTCACTAGCAAGACACTTTCATTATCAGTGGCTCTACATGATCTGATGACCAGTTTCGTTCTCCTTCTTGCATCATTTTTGTTTTTTGTATCTAAGTGACGCAGAGAAACTGCATGGCACATGTGAAAGAGAAATCCCTATTATTACTTTGTTGATACAGAATGCATTTCAAGAAGATATAGAAAAATGAATCTTGTCTTAAAGGGTAGCTTTAATTTTTTTTTTTAGATTATTTGAAAATTCAAGGCAGAATTTCAACAAACTGTGGATGAGTGAGGAATGATACCAAATTAAAGTCAAAACTCCTCTAATTTATTCAGATGAAATGAAGTAATTTCTTCGATTCAGTCACTTTCTTCAAAGTGAGCTGTGAGTTTTTTCACCTTTATCCTGGTCAGTTAAAAATAACCAAAGCCAATTTCTATTTTTTTTTTTTTCAGGACCAGACTGGGCAAGTATAAACCTTGGAATCTTAGTTTGCATTGAATGTTCTGGAATCCATCGCAGCTTGGGAGTGCATGTGTCTAAAGTAAGGTCACTGACATTAGACAAATGGGAGGAGCAAACTGTCAAGGTATAATTCAATGGAAATAATGATTATTTTATGGCGAGGTAGTCCTGAGGTAAATCCAAGCAATCTGATTGGTTCATGCTTGGTCCCTATTTTGCCATTTGGACCATTTCCACAGAAATGTTCTTGAGCCATGTATTTTTGTTTGCAAAAGCCAGCAAAATCAGAATGAACAAGTTTGGCCCTAGTACCATATAATAAACAACCAGTCCTCACTAACCTTGCTTGCTGGAGCTGTACAGGGGAATATTGACTCTTTTCCTTTTTATGGACAGAGCACAACTCAGTCCATACTGCCACAATCCCTGGCTAATATTCCCCAGGGAGCCCTCTTAGTAAGTAAGAAGTTAATATTTTAAAATCAGTGTCAATAAAACACACACCTACTTAAGCTAGTTGACAGCTCTCTCTATCCTTTTGTTGGTGGAATAAGCCATATTAGAGGTTTTGAAAAAAGTGTAAAGGTCAAATTGAAATCACTTGTCCCTGGCTTGTTATTCACTGATTTTCCTTTCGATTCTTTCTTCCTGCATGGTTTATTACCTTTTTGTATTAACCTTTGCCACCCCCCTCCCTAAACTAATGGTTGTCTCAATTAATTGTTGACTTTTTATTTTTTTTAGTTTATGGAAGGAATGGGTAACAGCAAAGTGAATAGAATATATGAAGGCAAGCTTGGAGAATATAAAAAACCCACAAGAGATTGTGCAAAGTAAGCTCTATTTATAGGATATTGTACACACAAGAAGGAAAAGGCTCAAAATATACAAAAAAGTAGTGTTCTTACATATTTCAAAGTGGAGTAACTTTTCAAACCAGTAGAGCAATTCTTTAACCTGTTAAATTTTCATGAATTCCAAGAGATTTTAGGTAATAAAAAGAGGTTGTTGAGGTGCTAGTCTTTACTGGTCACTACCTCAGTGAGGAGAACACTGAAAAAGAAGAATTTCCATTTATTGATATACTGCACAGACTGAAAAGTAAAGCTTAGGGTTATAATTGCATATATGGCACTCGAGAGTTTTTCCAGAAGCTTCAGCAGCAGGCCTTTTCATCAACTTCTCTCTTCTTCAGTGTGGGTTATTTTCATGACACAAAACAGTAAAACACCCAGGTCTTGATCTTAAATGAATTCTAACCTTAGCTCACCAGAGTTTTCCTTTTTTTAACTGTTAAAAATATTTCTGGAGAACACTGTTCACTGAGACATGTATTGGAGGGACACCTTGCAAAAAGTGCACATTAGCAAGGGTATTGGGAGTCTTTGCTTTACAAAAGTTTTACTGTTGTTATAGCAATATATAACTTACTTTGAATCTTTGCAGGGAGGAAAGGCAACAGTTTATTCGTTTGAAGTATATTGACCGACAATTTTCCATTCCTGAGGACAATTCAGATAAGGAAATCTTAGAGGTGATGAAAAACAGACCACCGGGAGAAGGCGAAGATGAACTTTTTAATGATTCTGCAGAGGTATAAAGACACTGATAAGGAAGGTTTCATTAAAATATTTTTTGAGGCACCACAACCACCAGCAAATAAGTAGTTGAGACATGTTACCATGACAACAGAAAATTGTCCATCATGTGATCCAACGTAATGCCTCTCTGCTCAGCAGCAGTATCATGTACTAATGGACAACATCAAATCTGGGAAGGGTGCAGCTTTTGTTTTCTTTTTTTTTTTGTACCAAATTTCTTCTTGGCTATCTGGTGACATCTGTAAATGCACTTTTTGCTTGAGGTGTCTCAACATTTTTGTAACTGATTGTAGCATTTCATTTAGAGAATGAACTATATACATGTTCTCTAAAAATGCGAAATTGATAAATACAAATTGGGTCACTGTTTAATGCTATGCGAGGGAGCTAATCTAATTGCTAAGCTTTTTTGGTACAGTTGTATAACTTTGCAGTAACTTACATCGACCTGCGTTTATTATGCCTTACTTTACTGTAGTTCCTCGACTTTCTACAAGAGAGAAGCCTTCATGGAGCTAGTCCAGTCTGCCTTGTGGAAGACTGTAAGGTATTTTGTTTCAGATCTGAAAAAATGATCATGCATTTTATGTTAAAAAAGGAAAAAGTATTATGAGCAAATGCAAAAAGGTAACTTGACATGAAACATTAAGTTGTACAGCTTACTATTTACACTTAATAACCCACTAGCACAATGATTCCTGAAGCTAGAACGTTTTTCTGCAGAACAAACATTTAGTTAGGAAGCAGAAGTTAGCTAACCTGTTAAATTTGAAGGAGAATTCTCTTAAGCCAGCCTCCCCAAGAAGCCCCCCTATCCAGAAAGTCTTAGATTTTCAACTAGAAAAGTTCACATTGTCTGTGGTATTCTGTAAATATAGGAAATTGACAAGTCACATTTTGGCCATCAGTAAGTTGTAACCCTTTAACTCCCAAGATCTGATGGTAAGCTCCCCCTCTAATGAGCCTCTCTTAAACAAGCCACCCTCTCTTGGTGGTGAGCCCTTGAAATTGATAGGCACCCCCCCCCTGCCCCCCAAGGCTAAGTGGAGTACCATTGGCAATCTTGGTCTTTTCATGTGATGACAGCCAGGATAAGCTCTGATAAATATTTGCCTCTACACTTTTAAGCCGTACCTTTGAATGTACCTAATGTTTGGAGGAAATGAAGAGTCATGCTATTCACTGTCTCAAAGGGAAATTTAGACACCCACAAAAACTGATGACTTTTTTTTTGCTATAGGAATGTCCCACATCCTCTTGTATCCATAAAGGAAAGTTTGCCTCATCTCAGCTGATTGTCTCACCTGAAGAAGGAGAAGAAAGTGAATGTTAGAATACAATGAAAATTATGGACCAATGCAAGATGCTGTGATAACTATAATGTTATTTAATAATTTGTGTCATTGACCTGTGCTAAGAAATGAAGGTGTCATCAAAATGTAATCAAATGTCAAGGGTACATCACTAACATTGAACTCAGTGAATAATTTAAACCAGGGAAATATGTTGGTGTGGCAAAAGTGTCACATAATGTCACACAAGGTCACACCATTTGTGCCATAATATTGTGTGAGAAATGAAGGTGATTGTTTGTATTTAATTAGTAACAGTTCTCTGTAGTAACTTGGCTTAAGTACCTAGTGTTGCAGTATGATGAAAATTATGAAATTATTTCATCATGAAATTATGGTTATAGTACAGACTGATGTGCAGCAAAGTTTAGAGACTCTGGTTTGCCTTGACCTCTGTTGACTACTTGACAAGCTAAACTTAGGAATTGGGAAAAAAAAAAGAGAATGCTGGAAGAGTTCTGTACAGAAAAAAGGATCATTAAATGCTATAGCATATAAGCTATCAAACTGAATTCAGAAAGAGGCATAAGTCAACACCATTTCTTTCCTCAAAGTCAGGAATGTTCTTGAAGTAACAACTGTCCAAATTGTTGAGAATGACAAATGTGTGGTTCAGATACGGTAATTTTGTTGTATTTAATATATGTAAAAATAAAAATAAAGTATATTCCACCCTACAGGGTGTTAATCTTAAGTATTGTAACATACCCATGAATTAGGGTAAGAGACCATTTTTCTGTTGATAAAATGTAGGATCTGATGTGTAAAGTGATAGGTTACAAAAATCAAGCTTGGAATATTTTTTAAAAAATTGTCATGACCAGAGAAGGATAGCAGACTGCTGCAACATCCATGAAGCACATTTGCTTTCAATGCAGTTTTTATTGGGAAAATCATTTCTTTTCTCCCTGCTTGAGTGAAACATTTTAACCCAGCTATTATCAGAATGAGTCCTTAAAAATCAGGGGTTTCAGTCAGGGGTGTAATTAGGCCCCTTTCTCCTATTAGGGCTTGGGGAAGGCTTCCCCCAGTAAAATTTGAAACCTAGAAGCTTAGAAATTTAATTTACAGCATCTAAGAGTGATTGTAGGGTAAACATATGGCAGTAAGAGGTCTTACAGGCAGTGGTAGACTGTCAGTAATTGAATGTCATTGAAACTTGTTAGGAATCTGGAGGTATTTAATAGATAGCCTCTGTGGTGGTATTGTTTATTTTGATAAATTAATTTGATTGGGTACAATGTGACTATGCCTCATGGCTGATTGGCTTGAGTTAATTAAAGGGAAAGGAATGTTGTGACTAAGGAAGTTCACGGATTCTTTTTGGAAGAAGGGGATTGACTTATTAAGTCTTAAAGAATCTTCAAGCAGCAGGGGCCCATTTCTGGAAAGTCAAAGTAACTTTGCAGGCCCAATGTGATATTTCTAAATTTAACTCTACAGAATGATAATGCAAGTCTTCACTCAAACACCAGTCTAACCAGTTTCTTTTCCTGAAATATCTTTGTTTGAATTTCAAATCACTCAAAATTGTGATCTTCAATGAAACACAAGGAACAAAAATCCACTTTTTGGGCCAGTTAAGTCAGTGAGTCTTTTGCAAAACATGCCCCAGGATTGGCATGCAGTGAGGCAGCTCACAATTTCCTGTAAGTCTTTTCAGAGTGCACATATGATGTAACATGTCAAGTAAATAAGAACCACCATGATATTCAAGAGGTAACTTATGAAGTGTTGGAGATTCTCAGTTCCCAGGTTTGTTGTTTGTTGCACAATTAGTTTATCTCTGACATTATGTAGCATGTAAATTTCTTGTAACATCTAAATTATATTTTGTAAACTGACTGTTGATTAGAAGTACATTATTTTAAATTCATAATTGCCACAGTTATTAGTTTGTCAAAATCCCAGGTTCTTTTTTCAGGGCACAGTTGTTCAAAGGTTGGATAATCCTGTCCAACAGATAAATCATTATTCAGTGGTTAAGCGTTGACAATACAAACTGCGCTATCCAGCAGATAGACATTTACCTGTTGAATAGATCGAGTTAACCATGCTTTGCACAACTAAGGCCTGAAAGGAAAATATTTTCACACAAAAATGAAAAAAAGATAATTTTTGATAACTTCTAGCTTTCCCTAACAGGGCTATGTTTTCATAGGTTTTCAATTATCACAAAAGGTTATTTTCATGACCAAGAGACAGTTTACCATCCTCGTTGAAGTAAAAGAAGGTAAAAATTTACTACAGAAAAGGAGTTGGTATTGTCATCAGTTATTACAGCTCATGAGTACTGTTTCAATTTTTTTTTTATACTTATTAAGATAGTATGGTACAGTAACGTGTATCTTAATTTATACAGAGAAATCTTACAACTGCATACTACTGACTATTATTCCATTTTATGCCATTTTAACATATTAGAGTTATGGAATGGGTGAAATATGAAATATAATTACACTGTAGAACAGCACAAAATATGGATGGAAAGTGGAGAAACAAAATGGTAGCCATGAACAATCCAAACTTTGATTATCTTCTGGGCCCAGTTGTTCAAAGGCTGATTCGCACTAACCCAGGGGTTAAAATTTTAATCCAGGGTTTCTGTATTTCTCCATTCAAAAGCTGTTCAGGGATAATTTTCTTAATTCCTTTTAGAACATTCAATCATAAAATTATAGACAAATGGAGTAAAACTGAATTTTCTTTTTAAGCTTTCAGATCTGAAGTCAAATTTCACTTTAACCCTGGGTTATCTTAACCCACCTTTGAACAACCCAGCCCTGTTCTCTAGGATTTTCCTTTTAAGCAATTAACTTTAAAGGGCATGAATTGTTTTTTTTTTAATTTGTTCATGAAGTTGTTGGGCCTTATGCAATCAGTGCGATGCTCAGATAAAGCTGTGCGATGTATTTAAAAAAACTAAAAGCCAAAACACTATAAAATAATATAGTGAACATAAAAGTGGAATACTAAATGCCTTATTTGATGGTTTAACATACAACACTAGAAGACATTTTGCTCCTGGTGCAAACACAACACAACTAGAAAAATATGATTACAAATTATGTTAAACCATTGAATAATGTGATGATCAATTCAAAGCTTCAACATAATCATCCCCCCTCTCCTTGGCAATGCACAGATATTTGTTTGTCATTTGTGCCCAGAGCAGTGGGGAATTTAGGTTCTAAAGCATGGCCAATGAGAAGAATTTGAAATATGATCAAACCAATCTCCAAAAGTTCAAGAAAGAGGGGAAGAATGTTGAAGCTTCAAAACGATAGACGCATAACATGTATACATTTTAATGCCAGGATTTTTGACAATGTGTGTTAAGTTATCAGTAAATGCACGACAATAAACCAAACTAAGGTTGATACCTAACAATTTAGAGAATAAAATCCTTTTCAGTTAGTCAACTAATACTTATGGACACTAATTTTGTTACATTACTGTCACTGTCTACTAAAAACAGTAGAACTGTCTATCAGCATCTCAACTAAAAACAAAACTAAAACAAACAACTATCAACAACAAGTATTTGAGGAAAGTACAAATGGTACAAAATTACCTTGAATAGCAAAAGCAGATTAATATTTTTAATTCCACTTCGTCTGAGATGTTTGCTCAGTTTGTGCAAATACAGAACAGCAGGTTTCACTAACCACCAGGAGTGGTAAATTGGACATAAATAAAATGCTCCTAATTCTGATAAGTGATTTTCTCCTTTGTAATTAACAAGGTAAGATGAAAATGCAACATCTTGCATTACAAAACAACCAAGACCTCTGGATAAACTTTGAATAAAATCCAGGCTCTTTAAATACTTAAAAGATTCCATGCCCCTGCTGGTCTGTTCTGTTGTAGATTACAGACGATGTCAACATGTGGTAAGAACAAAAAAATCATAAAACAAGAGCAGCTAAGTGTGGCCCTGATGTTTTAGTTGTTCATAGTGACATCATCCATCCAATAGATCATGGGTAAGATCCAATCAAAATGTAAGTATAACTCAAATTATCATATGATAACATCTGCAGTTACATACTATTGGTGACAGCTTTGAGTACTGTTGGACAAGTTCAGAGCGCTTTTCATAGATTCAATCCTCTTCAGTATTGTTGACTTTCATTTTAGCATTATCAAGGAAGAGTTTAAATTCCTGTGCAAGTTCTACATCAGATGCTATTGCCCATAGACATGCAGAGTAGTGAACGCAGTTTAGAGATCGCAACACTGGTAGAGAACTTCCTTTGTTGACTGTACAACTGAAGACAGGATTCCAAGCCATACATGGCCTTCCAGAACAGAACACTTCAATTCGCAAACCACCATTCGCTTTTGTCCTTTCAAATCGCACATGAACAAACCCAATAAGATCTGGAGCCAGGCTACCACCCTGCTCAAAGTGCAGCTGATCAACCACGACAAAAGTTCGTTCTGACACGCACTGCACAAGAGCCACATTTTTGCTATCGCACCTCAAGTTTAGATCTTTTAATGAGTTGGAAACCTCTCCACTAAAAAATTCACCAGATAGTTTTTCTTGATCAAGATAAAGGGCTCTGGAATTGTTTATTGATCCCTGGCTACGGCAAACCTTGGCATGTTCACACAGAAAGGAAGGAGCTTTGCTGCCCAATTCCCTCGCAGTCACACAAGGAGGATAGTCACATGAGTAAACATCTCTCATTCTGTTATCTGGGAAGTTGCGCTCACACCAAACAAAACACCTGTGATCTGGTCCTACTTTGCTTCTTCTTACAGAGAAAACCATCACTGTTGAGTTTGATGGGATTTGAAGCTGAACTGCTTGGCGCTGTTGCTTCTTGTTTCGCTTGAATGGAGGATTGGACTCGTTCAACAAAGACTTGCAATGCTTGCACACTTTTGAACGGCAGCCAATTAAACATTGGCACTTTTGACAAGGCATCACTCCTCTTCGAGTTGCATTTCCAGGAAGCATTCTGGAAGTAAATGAAAAGTTCTTAAAAGAAGCCCTTTACCCTTTAACCCTTGAGAGTAATAAGAATCTAATTCCCCCTCACAATATCACCCATGAACTAAACACTAAGGTCATGAGATTACAGAAAACAATCACAAACTGAAGAAGCCCTTGATCATTAAACAAATTCTGCAAGTCGGCACCTTGGAAAATGTGTCGAGAGCAGTTTGAGAATAATGCCTAATGATGTTAGGGTGTTAAGGAGCTACATAATGATTTTTAGAGCAGCATTACAACCCACTTTAATCTTTCCAATCTTTGGCCGTCTTTGTATCGTTAGGATTATTCAAATGTGTAACTCTATGGTTCTATTTTAACAAAGGCTGAGGTAATAGAAACAGGTTCTTAAACCTCATTTAACTTAACATCCAATGAGTTATTCTCCCTACTTATTGCCATATTTTTCCTTGTAAATTAGACAGGAGAGTTAGGGCTTATTTTAAAACAACACCCTCTCACTGATAAGTTTGTCTGTTCTCATAACCTGCCAACAGGTAATGACTCAAACTTATCAGTTACCAGTTGGTATCTTGATCCCAGACCAAATTCTTGAAACTAATTGACAAGGAATGAGTAGCAGCTATAGGGAAGAATTAACAAGCAGATCTTGGGAGTTAGAGGTTTCAAATTCACAAAAAACTAAAAATCTTACAACCGGCTGTGAGTACCTTAACTGAGATTCTGTTGGTCTGGACTCTGCAACATTATCAGCCATGTCTTCCTCAACAGTTGATGCCACACTTGACCGAATTTCCACCACTGCAGTGCCATCATCAATTGACTTTGGACGTATTTTGCGGTACTTTGCCTGGCTTGACAGATCATCTTCTATAACAATGTGTTTTGTTTTGACTCCAATCAGACTTGATGTACCCGTGCTAGACTTAGTATTGTCAATCACAGGATTCAGTGCAGTCCGTATTTTCTTCCCATTCTGTTGAGCCAAATGTCCAAGAAAAAGTGCAACTGAATTTGCATCATAAGAATTCTCTGGGGTGCCTAAAGCAGCACCTGCCATTTGTATTTGTTCCTGCTCTTGCTCTATCTCCTCATTGCCACCTTGTTGCTGTTGTTGATCAGAGTTTGGCTGTGCCATACTCAATTTATCTGTCTCTACCCGCTCACTGGGTGGTATGAATACACTACTGTTTTGATTTTGCACAAGAAGAGTTTGGATCAAATCTTGCAGACTGGTATGATAGCTCTTTTTTCCTACCACTCCTTCTGTTGCCACAGCATCACCAGTAACTACATCATCTTCCTGAGTTTCTTGTCCAAAACTTATTGCTGTATCTGTTCCAGAATCTTCCACCTCCTCCTTTGCAACAACTTCTGGAACAGTGCTTGAGATCTCTGAAGTTGCCACCTCAGTTTCACCATCAATCACCACAACATCCAATTCAACACAAGTTGTACCCCTTCCATCATCATAATGATTAGATTCTTTACTTTGTTTGGATTTTCTTGATCTCTTTCTAGGCTTTCCAGGGCTACAAAATTTGCACTGCTTAGAACGGTAACCAATCTTCTTCATGCAGATAGGGCATGTCTTGACTCCTCTCCTTGTGGCATTAATACCCAGAAGTCTAAAAATAAAAAAACATAGGATTCTTTATAACAATACATCCAATACTATATTACAAAAATATTACTGTGTGCACATGTACCACAAATAATTGGTTTCTACAATAGGCAACAAAAGCGTTGACATATTGACCTCTTCAATCCCCTCTTTTCCTTATTAAATTTTAAAATAACGCATTCACCCCCTTCCCCCAGGGCAAGTCTGTGATCTTCTAGCAACAAACAGGCTACATAGAATGGGGAAGAGGGGTCTTGTCCATGATTTATAGCATGGTGCCAACAGTAATGTCATTCTACACAAAAAAAGAACTCTTCACACAGGACATCAACTAATTTTGATGCCAATTGCAGCTTTCCAAACAGTTCAACACCTGAGAATCTATGACAGATAACAGGGGTGGAATTCAAATTTAAGGAGCATGATCAAAAGCTCTTTCTTAGCCCTGCTGCCTTTGGACCCCAAAAGAGAGCTAACCTGTTACAGAGGGTGCCACATGACTTCTCTAGTGATAGAGAGGCACAGAAAAACTAATACAATGTTTAATCACTCAAATCATTGCCCTGAAAATTGCTCAAAGTGTAAAAATCTTTACATTACTTTATCACTACAGAAATTTAAATTACACTTGTACCTTCCGGGCGGATTCGATTCATTTTCAACTTCAATTTTTTCACCCTCATTTCCAGAATCTGTTGGCTTTGGCTCAATTTTACGCAGGCCCGGAGACTGCACACTGCCCCACATGAAAGTAGTTCCGACTGTCACGGCAGAAGGTGAAGACGAGTGTACGCTCCCTGATAAGAGCTTAGCCAGTACTTCGCTACTATTCGAAGAACTGGATGTAACGTTGTTGCCTGTAAGAAGTTTCACAATAACATGATCCTCTGCAGTTGCCATTAACGAAGTCTCCAAGATCGGCGCAGGATTTGAAACTTGCTCCGAAGACTGATCGCTCCAAATCGTCTCGTCCGACATTATTAATTCGACATCAGCTGTCTTAAACTCTATCTTCATGTAAACAACGTCTTTTCATAGGTTATCTATCGCCTCTCGATCGCTACCGCGAGGGTAAACTTCGCCAAATTACTTTCAAGTAGAGACTTAAATTATCTCTATACGACAAAAAAAGGAATTCCCGTCAACAAACCAGACAAACTATAATATTACCTTACGTAACCGTGACAATACAGATTTGTCTAGAATAAATGGCGAACCGAAGCATGGTGGACAAAGTGACAGCCTGCGATGTACACCGCTGGTTAGCTAACACGTGACCAAAATAAAAGCATAGGTCCCCATCGCATACAATGCAGAACTTGTCATCAACATGTCCAATAGAAGCGCACACATACCTTACTCGCTCCAAATGGGCTTTCCAAAATAAAATGTGATATATCGATACCGTTTGCTTAAAGGGAAAGGTTGGACTCATTGAGACTTGCCTCACTTCCTACGAGCAAAATTGTCTTAGTCCTCCAAATGATAAGAGCGCTAAGTTGGTACTTGACTAATGCCAGCCTACGAGTAGCCGTATCCTCCCCCCGCCAAGGTGTCTTCCTTTTCACCTTGGGGGGGGGGGGGGAGGTACGGCTACACGTAGGCTAGGCTACTGCTACTTTTACTAGTTCGGAGGGGTTAATTGGATCGTGGATTGTATGCAGATAACAAAGGCATACTTACTAGAGTAAACAAGGTAACGAATAAAACACGAACGAATGAATACATTAATTGATTAAATGAGAGGCGTTCGTTGATTTCAAGGGGAGCTATGGTCTTGATTTGAGAGATGACCTTTTTTCTGAAAAACTTGTCTTTGAAAGATGAATTTTTTTTGGTCCACATACGCGAATTTTGTTAATTAATGACCGGGAACTATCAATGGTTAAATGCGAAATTTATCGCCATTATGGAAATAAAGAAACCCGAAAGTAAATCCATAATTTCCTTTGTCGGTAGCAGCAGTGGATGTGTAGCGGATATAGATGGATTACTGGTAAACAGTGATTTCACATCAAATGACACTAGTTCGTGGTCGTCAGGTATCTTTACAGTCTTGATGGCACCGTGTCGCGCATCCTACAAGCCTTCTATAACCGCATTTTAACCCTTTACCCCCCAACATCGATCAATACCCATTTTCTTCATACTCTTCTCTATACTTTTCCCTTGGTACTAACACGAAGAGTTCGTTTAACAATCAAAGCATCTTAGGTTGGTGATCATTTCTTTTATTCCCAAAAGTCAGCTGTATTACTGTAAGGGAAAATTAGATGCTGGTCATCCTTAGGATTAAAGGACAAATATTTATCCGCGTCAGCTAAAATACTTATATTACTCTACCCCATTTTTAAGCAATCATGTTAAGACGCACAACCAAGAGCTCTTTTCTGTTTCTCATAAAAGATATATCAATATGCGCCATATGAGAATATTCTGCCTCGTGAAAAAAATGCTCCCCGTCATTTGTACCAAAGTCAGAATTCTTTCGATATTTTCAAACTAAGCATTATTGCGCCGAAGTCAGAGTGGTTGTATCATTTGAAACTTAATATGTATTTGCGTATTTCAAAATATTTTGCGCGCCTCCAGAAGTAAAACTGCGCGAATGTCAGAATATTTTTCACGTTTGTAAACAAAAATGCTCAAACTAGAATATGTTCCTTAATTTAAGCAAAATACTTTCTCGTGGGAATCAGAATACTTTTCTAAAAACAAAATATCATCAGGTAGTAGCAAAAAAGGTTTCGAAAGAAAAATACTAATACAGGCGGGCCAGAATACATGTAGCACTTTTAAAAGAAAATTTTTATGCTCGCGAGCCTTTCTTTTTTAAATACGTTCAATTATTGATGGTTAAAGAATTTTACAAGTAACAATGATGATGATGATGGCAGTTTCTCCATATCCGAAGATCAGTTGTGGGAAGGTCTCGCCAGGGGAGGGCGGCACGCCCTCAGATGACTTATCAGTCTTATTCTTGATAGGCAGATCCCAGGACATCTAGGGCACATGGCTTCCATACTGGGAAGATTGATTTTTGCCAAGACTTCATTGTTAGTTCTATAATCCTGCCATCTAATGTTCATGATGGGGTGAAGGCAGCGTTGGTGAAACTGTTCTGGACGTTTGATTTGCTCTCTGTACGGTACCCATGCCTCGACGCCCTACAGGAAGGTATTGACGACAACAGCCTTTTATACCAGAGTTTTGGTGGAGAGGTGAAGAGAGAGGTTTGCCATACTCGTTTTTGCAGACGACTTAATGCACTACTAGCTTTTGACATCCTGTTCCCTACATCTTTTGCTGGTGTTGTATCGTTCGTGATGATGCTTCCGAGGTATGTGAATCGCTGTATCACGTTAAGTGGATGTCCATCAATGTGGATATTAGAAGATATGTACGGCGACCTCGGTTTGGTTGGTGGAGTACTTCTGTCTTCTTCAAGGTGATTGTAAGGCCGAAAGCTTTGGCTGCTTGGGAGAAACGGTTGATAATAACCTGAAGGGCCTCTTCGATGTGAACAAGGAGGGCGCAGTCATCTGAAGACAGCAGTTCAAGGACAACCACTTCTAAGGTCTTTGCACGAGCCAGAAGTCGGCGCAGAAAAAAGGTGCTGCCGTCTGTCCTGAATCTTCCGTAGATCCCCTCATTTAGATCTTCCTTTACTTCCCTAAGCATCATGCTGAAAAATATGGCAAACAATGTTGGGGCCAGAACGCAGCCCTGCTTCACTCCGTTATCAATAGGAAAAGGTTAAGAGTAGTCTCCGTTGTACTCTATGGTACCTTTAAGTCCTTCATGTAGCTGGTGCAAGATGTTTAGGAATTTTGGAGGACAGCCCAATTTCTTCAGTATTTTCTAGAGTCCATTTCGACTGACTGTGTCAAAAGCCTTTGTTAGATCGACGAAAACTGTATATAGGGCCATGTTTTATTCACTGCATTCCTCTTGAATCTGTCTCAGTGCAAAGATCATATCTACTGTACCTCTTTTTGCTCTAAAACCGCATTCGCGAAGAGAAGCCTACTACCTCTACTGTAGTATCTTGTAGGTGTGTCTCTAACTTCGTACCATTTCTTCACATGATCTTCTGTGCTGGGGCAAGTGTTTTTTGCCCAGTTTGTTTTGGAGTTGAGTCAGGAATTCTTCTTCTTTTTGTTTCAGGTTGTTGACTTGCACCTTTTTTAGCTTTGGTTCTTTCTTTCATATCGGAGGTTTTAATAGTCAGCTTTAATTTGACTCTGACTAGCTTATAATCAGTTTAGCAGTCAGCAGTTGTCATGACTTTGGTATGTGTAACGTCACTTGAATCTTTTTGGCGCACCAGAGCATAGTCAAGAAGATGCCAGTGTTTAGACCGAGGATGTTTCCATGTTGTCTTATATAAACTATCTTCCTATTGGAATAGGGTGTTGGTAATGGTAAGTCCCATTTCAGCACAGAACTCGAGCAATTGCAACAGCCTCTCATTTTATCATTACACTTTCCTTCGCCATGTGTTCCGAGGACTCTTTCCAGATCTTATGATCTCCTCCCACTCTTGCATTAAAATCACCTATAATTAGAATCTTGTCTCTCTTGTCCACTTTTTATAAAGGGAACGAAATCTCTGTAGAAAGCTTCTTTTGCGTCGGCATCTCCTTGAAGAGTTGGGGCATACACACTGAAGATCGCGAGTAACTGGTCTGTTTTCAGAGGGAGTCTAAGGCTTATCAGACGATCTGAGTGTCCCACTGGAAGGATGTGAAGCTTGTTGGCTATTATGTTCTTGATCATGAGACCAACACCAAAGAGTCGATGTTCTTCTTTCTTCTTTCCCGACCAATAGAGCGTAGATCCTGCTCCATGTTCAACCAGAGATTCCTGATCTGCAAATCTTATATAACACAATATAAATGAAAAAATACGCATGTCTGATTGGCTGAAAACAAGAGATTATTTATTTATATAATCTGAAAACGAGTGCATTTTTCATATAACACGAGTGCAAAGTTTTAACACGACTGCAAAGTGACACGAGTGCAAAAAACAAATACCGCGCGCGTTGCCAAAATTTCGTCCGTCTTGACTTTCTTCTATGTAAGTTATTAATATGTAATTACATAATTTTGAGTGCAATTTGATGGAAATAACATTTGTGAATTTTTTAAAGACAAAATCTTCGATGGCTGTAGTTTCGCCTTAATTTGCGCGGTGACTAGCACAGAAAACCCGCGTTACTCCTCACTTTGTCACTTACGCCCCCTCCTGCGCAATTGCTTTGAGCTCCAATTAAATCTATGTAATACTTATATTGCATTTCGAAATTTCGTTCTATTAATAGGTTTCCTTGTTGCTCTCTCCCCACCCCCAACTCACCCTAAAATTATACATTCTGTTCCTTCATTTTTATTAATTCCCAAAAGATACATTAAGGATGTATTTAAAAGCGTTTCAAATTACTCTTTTTTGTGCGAAATCGTGGAATCGTGAAGCCCCCCTTTAAGGGTTCCTTTGGTGCGGTGAGGAGTTCTCCCTGAAACGGGGAATGACCTATTGTCAGTATAAGGGCTGGGTCTATTTCCTGACTCCTTTCCCCTCTCCTTCCTTCCTAACGGATAATAGTTTTCCGTGAATTTTTTACCTCATTCTTGACAAATGAGTGTGACTTAAACAGATGACGCAACTACTTTTGGCTAAAAAGAGATATTTACACAGTCTAACAGCTAAGACCTTCCGCTACTTGTTCAAATCCATTTAATACAAATCCGCTTTGTAAATTTTTTAATTTCTTAGCTTAATATTAATCATCACATTGCATACAATCTGTATAAATCCTCTAAACTCTCTGCTAGGTTAAACATTATAGCTGCCGTCGATGCTTTGTATTGCAGAGCCGATTCTATGTCAGAATTGCAAAGAATTTAACATTTCATAGGCAACACTCGTATGACCTGTGTAAAATGCTCTTTCATGCGGCTTAATAACTAATCAATATTTGCAAATCATAATTCCGAAAACTTCTTGAAAACCGCAGACAAGCCAGCATTGGGAAACAAAATCACCTCTCAAGATTTCATGTGCCTACGTGACCCTCCTATAAGACTTACGAAAGAAAACTTCGATTTTGATAAACTTTAGCCTTTCGTGAGATCCTAATGGATGTGGCACGCGGCGCACCCATACAAACACTACAAAAACGGATAATGCTATTTTAGGCTTAGG